CAGAAGAGCTCTATGTCCAGCAACCTACAAAATTAACAGAAAATGATATTAGTTTCTTAAGATACCTGCAGTCAAACTAATTATATTTGCTCAAAAAACTTTAAAACATGTAGAAATAAGTAATAAAACTACACCGATAGCACTTCAGAAATTTTTTCATAAAATTGATAATTTACAGTTTTAGATTAACATTAGCCTCAGATATATGCTCTTATGGTTTTACAATCAAGTCAAGGAAAAAGTAAAAAAGTAGTTATGGACACAGATGTAGAGTAATTTAATTTGTCCTTTGCAAAAGTAAGTATAAAGGGCTGCCTAAACTCAGCCATTAGGCAAGTAATTTAGGTGCTGTATTACCTGGAGGACGAGGCTCTTAGTTTCTTCATAGTTGGCCCTCAATCTCTCTCCAAATGACCATAGGTCTTCTGACACAAGAAGCTTGTCATACAGAGAGGCAATACCCGGGTCGCCCTTGGCAAACACCATCTCAATTAAATCAATCGTGACTCTGAAGAAAGGCCACTGATTATACATCTCTCGAAGCATATGGAGATGTTTCGCATCCTTATCAATAGCTTGCTTAAATGCTGCCCCAAACCCAAGCCACACTGGTAAATGAAATCTTGTTTGGGTCCAAGCAAATATCCATGGGATTGCACGTAGTGATTCAATGCCTCCACTTGGCTTTCGTTTTGAAGGACGACTCCCAATGTTCATCCGGCCATACTCCAACTCTGGTGTTGCCTGCATTATCCAAGAGAAAATTATTACAGAACAATCTTCATCAGCCAATTCTGTCCTGATCAGGATAGGTAGCTTTAAAACTAATAATGAACAAATTTTATGTTAAGGTAGGCAAAGCATGTAAGAGGAAGACAACAGAAGAATGATTCTTGAAACTCAATTTCGGGATTCAACATGCTGTCGTTCATAAATTATTAAATTAGTAACTAAGATACCATTGACCCAAACAAGAAACTAATACATTGTTGCTAATACGTCAAGGGGGATTCATGTTATTGAAATGGTTAGTTTATACACACACACACACACACACACACGAACGCACAAAGTACATATATATTGAAAGGTTGATCACATTGGATAAGTAGGATACTTACACGGCGAAAGTATTCAACAAAACGAGGTTCCTGGAAAACTATTGAACGGTATTCCTTTGTTGCAAGGACAGCCATCTCATCCATTAGTGCACGCCATTCGGGCTTTGGTGAGACAGGAGGATGCATTCCATGCTCAAGTGTAGCTGCTGTGAAACGCTGGAGTGTTCTAAAGCACAAGTGCTCCTCCCCAAATGATTGTTCAATAACTTCACCTTGAACTGTAACACGAAGTGAACCATGAATTGTGTCAGGTGGCTGAGACAATATAGCAAGATGGGTGGGCCCCCCTCCTCTTCCAACTGTTCCACCTCGACCGTGAAACATTGTAAGCTTAACCCCATATTGTTTCGCAACCTTTATGAGCTCTTCTTGAGCCTTGTATAACTGCCATGCTGCAGATAGCCGGCCAGCATCCTTTCCTGAATCTGAGTATCCTATCATGACTTCTTGCTTCCCATTGATCCTGTTTTTGTACCAATCTATTGAAAAGAGACGGCCCACGGCAGCAGGAGCAGCCTCAAGATCAGCAAGCTTCTCAAACAATGGGACAACCCTTAGTGGTTTCTTCACACCACATTCACGTTGCAAAAGCTCCACAGCAAGCACATCAGATGGCGCTGTCGCCATTGAGATAATATAAGCACCAAAATTGTCTGAGGGAAGTTCTGAAATGACATGGAATGTGTCCAGCACATCAGCAATTTCTTCAGTCTTGGGAACATCAGAGCCAAAAAGGGGGCGCTTGCCACTAAGCTCAGACAAGAGCCATTCTTGTCTACGTTCCTCAGACCATTCTCGATAAGACCCAATCTCCAGGTGCCTTGTTATAGCATTGAGGACATCAGTGTGCCTGTCTGATTCTTGCCGTATGTCTAGTCTCACAAGAGAGAGCCCAAAAGTGGAAACTTGCCGTAAGAAATCAAGAAGGCTTCCATCAGCAATTGCCCGATCGCCACAGGAGCAGAGTGACCGGTAACACATTTCGAG